CAGCAGCGGATGGAAGAAAATGATCAGAAGATGGAAGCAAGAATGAATGTTCAGGACAGCAAAATTGATACTGTTGTCACCATGGTTCAGAAGCAGAATGAAACTTCTGAAAAGATTCAAGCAATGCTGGAAAGCCTGTTCTCACGCATGCCCCCACATCCTTAAAAAAAAATTTTGTCATGCATAACCTTTTATGTTTTCTTCATTCTGATGTACTATTTTGACTATGTTTGTGTAATGTTCTTTTGCACTGAACTACCTTCAATATAATTTGTTTTTCTGATCTAGATTGTTTTAGCACATCACTATCACTTTTTGATTGCTGACAAAAAGGGGGAGAACAAGAATGATATTTAAAATCAATAACGGCTAACTAGACAGAAACTCTCAAACATTCTAACTCTATTACTTGAAACGTTTTTCTGTTTTGTTGTTAAGTCTACAGGCACAAGGAAGCTCCGAACACTATGAAGACTAAGAACTAGAAGCTCATGTTGCTCTGATCAAATATGAAGTTCTGATATATGAAGCTCTGATTGTCCTAACACTCTGATCCTAAGCAAAGCTCTGACAGGAAAAGCTCTGAAGCTCTGCTTTCTGATAAGTCAAAGACCTATAATCTGATGCTCAAAGATAGAAAAAGATCTGACTCTGAAGAACACGCATATCAAAGGGAAGTAACAAACTCAGGGGGAGTATCTCTTAAACTCTGAATTCTCCGTACTTCTTATTCTGATACATAACTCTGATAACTTTTCATGTTATTTCTCATTTAAAATATCCAGTTTTTGTCATCATCAAAAAGGGGGAGATTGTTAGAACAATGTTTGAATCTAGTACCCTATATTTAAGTTTTGATGATAACAAAGTGAAAAGATATAGTAGTTAAATATTTCATGATTGAATTATATGCTGCCTAAAATTACTATGCTCTGATTTGCAGATATGCTGATTAAAATAAGCAAGATCACGTTCTCAGCATCAGAATATGTTCTCATACACCAGCATCAGAAGTTGCTGAATCAGAACGTCAAGATCAGATGATCAACGCTTGCACATGCTGAAGCTTGATGAACAGAACTGCGCGTAAAACACTCTGATACAGAATCAAATAGTTCATCAGCAGCGAAGCAGAATCAGAATGAGCCAAGCCAGATCGTGCATTGAAGAAGCAACGGTACTGTGCATTGAACGCTAATCAATTCCAACGGCCTCATTCCAGACAAGATCTGCTCAAAAAGGAAAGCTTGTTAATAGCATTGAATCAAGAATATTTGCATCAACGTTCATCTTCTCAAGTGCTATATAAACCAAGCTTCGAAGATTATCATGGCTAATGCTTCCAAACTCTCTACACGCAAAAAGGCTGAACATAATCTTCATCCTCCAGTTTGCTAAACCAACAAACTCTGATACTCCATTAGCGTTTAGCATTCTAAGTTTCTAAGCTTCATTTGTGTAAACATCACAGTTGTGATATAGTTTTTGTAGAAAACATTCACACACATTTGCTTATACCTTTGTAAGAAAGTGTTGCCTTGACAAACCGGATTGTGGTTTGAATCAAGAAGGTTTTAGCAGTTGCTAAAGCAGATTTGTATTCAGTTGAATATAGTGAATTAAGACCTCGTTGGAGAGAGGCAAAATCACCTTGACGGGTGGACTGGAGTAGTTTGAGATCAAACGAACCAGGATAAAAATACCTTGTCACTTGTTTTAAGATTCCAGTTTTTACAATTCAACCCCCCCCCCTTCTTGTGTTTTTCACCCCTTCACATGCTACATTACAAGTCTGATCCCTTCCTTGTATTGGCACCACACTACGTTACAAGTTTGATCTCTTCCTTGTATTGGCGTCATGCTATGTTACAAGCCAGATCCCTTCCTTGTATTGGCATCGTGCTACGTTACAAGTCTGATCTCTTCCTTGTATTGGCACCGCGCTACATTACAAGTGCGATCTCTTCCTTGTATTGGCATCACGCCACGTTACAAGTCTTCTTTCTCCTTGTGTTTACATCATGCTACCTTCCAACACTCATCGTGTCAGCTTCTAAACACTCGTCGTGTCACCTTCCAATCTTCGTCGCTGCACTAAAAAACAAAAATTCTTTCCCCAACAGATACCACAAAAATAAATAAACACTTACACTTTCTCTCAGGACAAATTTTTGGCATTGGTATTTAATCATCTTCAACCTTGAACTTCTGAAAGGCACGCGCCAATCGTACTTTCAGGTTTAAGACGATTAAATAGGGGCAGCTGTAATAACCCAAATTTGTCCTACCCTTTTATCGAATCATCTGGCTTATGCGTTCCATTATTATTTCATCTGCATATCCTCCATTAGGTCAATTAACACCTCATGCATCATTAACCAATAAATTTAGAACGGAATCAAGGATGTTGAAGAATTAAGGTTGTTGTATGGCTTTAAGGTTCTCATTTTCACTCAAGCTTGAACCAACTGATTCTTTCATCAACTAGAGTTTCTTTGAAGCTAGGTTTTTAATTCATGAACCCCTTTATCACCAAGCTACAAGGACATCTCCATCATGGGCTTTTAATCCATAAAGGTTCATCTCAAGGTGCTTTGGGTTTTGTGATCACCATCATTCATATGCTTCTAATTGTTCCTATCTACAATTTTTTCCTCAAGACATTTGCTTCAAGATCGTTATCGAAATGAGGTGCCTTTGTGAAGTGAATTACAAGATTTAAATCACGGTACAAAGGTGATATTGTGGACACGTAACGTGACCAAGTCATTGTTATTTGTTACTTCGATTACAAAAGATGGGGCTAAGGGGGAAATTAAAATTTGTTGCGAGGAGGCGAGATTGACTTGGTTTGGCTTTTATGGAATCGTTATTTAGAGTCATTTGAAGTTCTACCTAACGTCATGGATTAGATTTGTTTGGAGTTTTCGAAATAAGAAGGGCATTTAGATTTCTTAAAGCACAAGTGAAATTATAAAAGCATTCACGAAATATGGTAATGACATTAAGCTAGGTTCAAGTTGAATGTAAAATGGTTATCGCCAAACAAGGTTTATTCAAAGGGGATCCTTAATTCTCAATACGAGCATGTAAAATCAAACAACTTTACCATTCAAGTTCCCGAGGCATACAAGGTCATTCAAGCTTTAAATTGCATGCTAAGACTAATTTTCAAGTTGCAAGGCATAATTCAAGAAAGCAAGGTCCAAATCCAAATTTCAAATATCCGATATTCAAGATTAGGTTATATTCAAGTTCTAACTTCTCCACATAAAAACCATTCAACATTGTCATCACATCAAAAATCCAACATTTCAAAGAAACATTACAAAAAGTACAAATTTCTATTAGGAAAAATTGATTCCTTGTTTCATCTCATTCCAAAAACAGCCCATCTATCCATCCGTTCATCAATTCATCATGAAACAAAAGCGGAACACAAAATACTGGCAGCTGCCGCTTGCCCTTCTCTACTACCATTCTGAAGAAAGCTGTAGTCACACTCAATTTCCCGGAACCAATCGTCGTAGGGAGCACAAACTAGCTTGCTACAGTGACATTTGTGTTGGAGCAATTGCTTGCCGGTTTGAGAAGAATGAAGGGGGTCCCGAGTTCAGGTTTACATCATGACTTTAGGTGTTTTAGTGCTTTACTACAGACTTGGTGTTGGAACGAAGCTGCTGAATCACGTTCTCAATCTTCGCTCCAAGCAGAACATTTCTGAGGTTTACCTGCACGTGCAGACAAATAATGAAGAAGCCATTAACTTCTATAAGAAGTTTGAGTTTGAAATAACAGAATCACGAAAACTATATAATTCCAACTTCCTAACCCTCACAATTAACCATAACAAAATTCAATTCTCAAACTGTCCAAACAGAACTATATCCAAAACCATTCCCTAACTGTTACTAACAAATCTTAACAGAAACCCAGTCGTGCTAACTTCTAAACACCTAACTAACTTTGCATTTGTTCTAACATCCCTGCACATTGTCCTAACAGTATTCCAAAACATTTCCTAACTGAACCATAACAGAAAAAACTATAACCCTGCAAACTCTCACTAACAGAATTTGAAGCCAGAACAAACTCAAACAGAATTTCTAACAGACTTGCAAAACTTTTCTACTCCTAACTGCCATAACCAACTTCTAACCAATTCTGTAACAAACTGTAACAGAAAAACCTCTTCTCTAATTAACCGTTTCTTCCACAAAGAACAGTCACACTAATCATCAACCAACCTTCCTAACCAACAAGAAGAAAGCAGAATTTCTAACTGTTGTAACAAATATCTAATAGCTCCCAATAACTTCTCAATAGAATTCAGAATAGAAAAAAGGATATAACAGATAACAGAATTAAAACTAACCATATAACTCCCTAACCTCCTAACAAAACTTCTCGACAAAATTCATAACAGAGAGAGCAATGAAAAGGGACTCACCTTTCAACCTCTCTGAGGGGAATCTCATCAAGATTCCTGTCATCTTTCTCTGCAACAAAAAAATACCTAGCTTTTTCTCCCTGCAACTTCCTCTACACCCCCTTTTCCACCATCAACCATCTTCACCCTCAATCCCACTGAACCATCGTCATTCACCTTCTTCACACACATCAAACACCATTAACCTCCATCCTCTTTGCTCTTCACCTTCGACCACAACACATTCATAGCCATCCTTTTCCTGTTCAACCTTCACCACTTTATCTTCCTCACACCTTCAATCTCTGGCCCCTACAAGCACCTTCCGACTCCCTCAATCTCGCGCACATCAACGCTCACGAATCAACATAACAACAAACATCAACGACAATCACAAACTGCACACACAGAGTTCACATCAAAGAAGATTCAGAAGAAGCTAAGAAGAAGATGAAGAACAAGAGGAGCAACGAATTAAAAACGGAAAAGAGAAAGGAAGTAGAAATCTTACCTTTAACCCCTCGGCGTAGTTCGTCGCTACACCACTTCAAACAGGTGTCATTCAATGTCTTTAATGCTCATTGTTCGCTCGAATCGGAGCCTCCTTAAGTTCGATTGGCCGCTCTAATCTGTGTCTGATAAAACCGCGGATGAAGGTTCTTCTGGTGTGTTCGAGATATTGAGACGGACCGAGAAATGGAGGAAGGTTGGTGGTAACCATGGTGACTCTGTCGTAGCCAATTCCAATGAAGGAGAATAGGGAAGGAGGCTTAGGGTTTCGATGTGGTCTCGATTCAGCCTGGAATTTCAGAAGAATAGAAGAGAGAATTAGCAAATATCGTATCATGTGATTCTGGAATATAGAGTGTACACGAGGATGCTTGTCTGGTGGACCGATCCACCCTCTTCTTGGCCCAAAGGGAATTTTTTAGAGCATGTGGATTGTACAAAAAAGAATAGCTTCATGTACTTTTACTAGTGGGCCTTCTATTCACACTCTTCATTGGTCCAGGACACCCCTTTGCTTAGTCTCGATTTTCATTTTGTTCTTTAAGTTTTTAGCAATTAATTTTGATACTCTCTTTTATGATTTTATTGCTAGAAATTTTGTAGATGCTTATATGTTGATTCCCTACTTGTTGATATTTTTTTTTTATAATTTTTCCATTAGCTTAGGAATTAATTGAATTAATGTTTAGTATATGATCATAATTAGGATTTTAACGCGTTCTTGTTGATTTTGTATCCTTGATTCAATTCCCTTGGCATGATGAGTGGTTTAGTGGTGGGTTCTGATCCTTGGACAATGCCCTGTTATTTTTTATGCGTTTGTTCATTGTGCAAGGTACATTTTTTGTGCTTTCGATCGTGTAACATAACAAGTTGTTATGTGATCAAAGCATGTGGTTTATGCTTGCTTCTGATGCAACACGCCTTATTTCTCATCGTCCTGAGGAATTCGTATCATATTATATGTTGTGCAGATGCATGTGATATTTTATGATGCTTTATGCAGGAACTTCTGATTACGTGTTGCATTCGCAACACGCGTTTGCTTTTATCTTAGTTGGATATCATTCCTGACTTTGTTTGTTTCTTGGTGAAGCTTGCTCGACATGTACTCCTTAATTCTCCAGTGATTTCGTCTGCTCTTGACGACTTGCTTGCTTTGGTAGTCGCTGCTACTACCTTCGTACTTCTTCGCACTTCATTATACTTATTTACCGCTTTTATGGATACCATGAGAAGTAGGAAATAAAGAGCGTGCACTCAAAGTCGCTGTTTAAAGACCTGTAGCAGGCATTCCGCACTTCATTTGCTATATGTGTTGTGCCTGTGTTTGTTTACTTTCTTGTTGATTGATGAGTCACTCAATTTAGAAATTTAGATCACGACTTCACTCTCAGTGCATGCTCCCTATAGGATTTTATCGCTTTCCTTTATTTCTTACTGATCGATGAGTCACTCAATTTAGAAATTGAGATCACGACTTTGCTCTCATTGCATGTTCCCTATAGGATAGTTTTGTTAGGCTTTATTTGGCATGCTAACCTAGATAGGATCTCTCTAGGTGTGCTCTCTTGAGTTTATTAACTTGCTTGATTTATCCTTGTACATACTATGTTCCCTTAGGATGTGCTTGCTCTATTCTGATGCAAGTTAGACCTTAGGTTGCAAACCATGCATGCCAACATTAGGTAGACGTTTCCCTTTTGTTAATCCAAACCTTAGGACTACCATTGTATGATAACATTAGATTAGAAACAGGCTAGTCTCCCTTGGACTCTTTTCTTCCCCTTTTGCATATGCATCTAAAACTAAAACTTCTTTTCTTAGCAAATAAAAAACATGCTAATCTCACTTAAACCCTTTTTCCAGGTAATAAAACACAAACCAATTCAAACCATTTTATGCGCTCGAGCACCTTTTCTCTAAAACCCTTTTCAGGTAAGGACGTGATTAGTTTACTTTTGTGCCAACACATAAGTCTCCAAAGGTCGAGCTGCGGCAGAAGGAGGAATTAACATTGTCCATAAAAAACACAAAACAAACAAAACATGTGAGCTGAACTACGGTAGCTCTGATTCCTCAAAAAGGATACGTAGGCATTGGGGTAGGGCCCAAGCGAGTACAAATTTATTTTCCCTACATTCTTTTCTCTTTCCTTTTGCATGCATTCTCCCTTAAGTAGTACAGTAAATAGTGAGCATAAACACACCCATAAGATAGATAACAAGAGTGGATACCGTAGATTACTACGGGCGTGTGGGGTACTAATACCTTCCCCTTGCATAACAAACTCCCTTACCCGATCTCTCGGTCGCAAGACCGTGACTTCTCCCTTCTTAGATTTTCTCGATGTCTACCTTTCCCTACATGTGGGATAAAAGACGTTCGATGGCGACTTTATTGTTTGATGATTTTCAGCCGGTTGTTTCACCTAATAAATAACTTGAACCATAAAAAAATTTAATGTTACTTGGACTACTTGGTCACTATCCTTGGCATTATGGAGTGATGGACTTCTTGGACTTAGGACTAGAGACCTTGATCTACCTTGAGACCTTGTGACTTTTATTGCAATATTGTCTGGATTTCTTGGGGTTTACCCTAAGACATTGGGTTGTTTGTTTGCTTTGTGTGCATATTATTTTAATTACATGCTTTTGTCTGTGATCGGGAATTCATATGTATATAGTTGTTACTTTGCCTAATTTTTGTGAAGACTTATTACCTTTGAAGCTTGGTTTTTTTTAGAGGTTTAATATTTTTGCTTTCTTGTTTTTCATTGAGAGGATGGGAATTCTATATTGACTCATTATGTCAAGTGTTGGTTTCTTGTTGGTTAGACGGTTTTCCCCCCCTATATTTTACCTTATGCTTTAGGATAGTCCCTTCATCTCCTCTCATCTTCTTTAGTTTCAAAAATCTTCTCCCTTCTTTTGAAAACTATTCTTGTTTTAAACTTGAATCGCTTTCATAATAAACTTGGACTTAGGTCCATGCATTTTCGAAAATATTTTCTTGATCAAACTTTAATCAACTTAATAATACCTTGACATTTTTTTGTGAAAAGACTAAAAGTCAATCAATCTCATTCAAACCATTTTGCCACTTTGGTTCTTTTATTTTAAAAACTTTTTTCTCAAAAGATTATACTCTTGTCAATCCTTGTAGTGAAGCAAACTACTATACTTCTACGATATGTAGTGAAGTGAGATATTTTCCACTTGGGTGTTGAGCGAGGCTTTGTTGATTTTAAAATTCAAGCCATATCCTCCACTTTGAGATGACACAAATTCTCCTTTCTCATAATCGCGGGTAGTAAGTATGTTTTCCACTTGGATAAGACGATGATGTCTCGTCTCTTAAAATTAACCAACACACTTGTGTTTTAAAAATTTTAAAGGTGAACTACGAGTACCCTGATCCCCTATTACATGGAAGGTGGTACATAGGCACTAAAGGTTCACAACCGCAGTGGGTGCAAAAATCATAAAAATATATTTCTTTTCTCATCTCCACCATCCATTTTTGTATACAACACTTATAGCCAAAATACACATATTTTCAAAGAGGTTCCTGCGGAGTACCGTAGATGTTAAGGGTGATAATACATTCCCTTTGCATAAAAAACCCCCTTATCTAGATTCTCCCCCCCCCCCCCCCCCCCCCCTCCTTTTGGGTTATTCGCTATTTTCCCATTCCTTTGGAAATAATAAAGCATGGTGGTGATTTTTAATTTGATATGTGCGAGTCAAGTCAATCCAATGGCTTAGTCTCAATATTTCTACCGCTATATGTTCCCTTAGGAATTTAGTTTCATCTGCTTTAAGATGCGAATTAATTAGACATTAGGTTTATAACCATGCATGCTAACTTAGGTAGATGCTTCCCTCTTCACCCAAACTTTAGGACCACCGTTGTACATGATAACATGAAGGCAAAAGTCTCCCTTAGAATTTTTCATTCCCCTTTTGCATTCTAAACCTAAGAATTTTTTGTATCAAAATTTAAAATACTTAATAATAAATGATGAGGGTCACACTTCTGTTAAGCAATGGAAATGATAAGCAGGTTTCTTCTCGATCTTATCACTATTTCATTCTTAGTCTTTTGTACGGTTCAAATCTCAAAGACTTTTTTCATTAATAAGTGAAGACATGGTTAATATCTCTCTCTTGAGGTCAAATAGCTATTTTTAAAACAAAAAATACCAACCAATTCAAACATTTTTACTTCAAGCCGCCTTTGGGCTTTTCTTTTGAAAACCTTTTCATAAAAAAGGATGTGTTATTTCCACTCTACGCAATACGATACGTGATTCCCCAAAGGTATTGGTTGCAATATGTCAACTTCTAGAGTGTGAATGTAACATTATTCGCCTAAAAACACACAACAAACCAAAACACTTTTATAGGTGAACTACGAGTGCCTTGATCCCCATTGCACGGAAGGTGGTATGTAGGAACGGAGGTTCGTAATCGAGGCAGGCACAACTAATAAAAATTTATTTTTATATATGCTTTATATGCATTCCCTTAGCATTAGGCTTTATATTTTTATAGACCCTTAGATTAGAATAAACTTAAGTGGATCCTGAGGAGTACCACAGACGTGAGGGGTGCTAATACCTTCCCCTCGCGTAATCGACTTCCTTACCCTTTCTCTTGGTCATGTGACCATGTTCTTTCCTTCCTTTAGGTTTACTCATTGTTTCCTTTCCCTCTCTTGGGATAAATAACATTTATGGCGACTCTTCTTTTCCTCCACGTTCGCGCTTCGATGAAAATCCTAGACGCGACAGTCCAGTGCAGTATCAGAGCCGACTTTCAATCAGAATATTAATATTTGTACTTGTACACTTGAACACACATTAGTATACCTAATTATTCTTTAAATATCTTGCTGTCATTAAAACCCAAGGGATATAATTTAAACCAATTTTGTTCCAACAATCTCCACCTTTTTTATGATGAAAAACACATGTATTTAAGAACAATGGTTATTGATTTAATTTAACAAGTTGACTTCAGGGTGTGAGGTTTATAAGCTCCCCCTAAGTTTGATAGTCCTAAGGGTGACATTTGTAAGCTCCCCCTGATTACTATCCAGTTTAATTAAATTCATCTAAAAAGTACAATAATCAATTCTTCAGAAATTAAGCATAAACACTAGATTCAGATGTGTAAATACTTATTATCTTACTCCCCCTTTTGTCATCAACAAAAAGAAAACAAATAGAAGCAAAGGAAATAAGAAAAGATACTGAAGAAGATAATTCATTAACCAAAAAACTTTTTTTGCAAGGCATTTTCAAAACAATTGAAAAGACAAAACAAAGGG